TATCATCACCATCACACCACTATCATCACCATCACACCACCACCACCACTATAATCACACCACTATCACACCACTATCATCACCATCACACCACTATCACCATCACACCACTATCATCACCATCACACCACTATCACCATCACACCAGTATCACACCACTATCATCATCACCATCACACCACTATCATCACCACCATCACACCACTATCATCATCATCACCATCACACCACTATCATCATCACACCACTATCATCACCATCACACCACTATCATCACCATCACACCACTATCATCATCACCATCACACCACTATCATCACCACCATCACACCACTATCATCATCATCATCACCATCACACCACTATCGTCACCATCACACCACTATCATCACCATCACACCACTATCACCATCACACCACTATCACACCACTATCATCATCACCATCACACCACTATCATCATCACCATCATCACCATCATCATCACCACCATCACACCACTATCATCACCACCATCACACCACTATCATCATCATCGCCATCACACCACTATCATCATCATCACCATCACACCACTATCATCATCACCATCACACCACTATCATCACCACCATCACACCACTATCATCACCACCATCACACCACTATCATCATCATCACCATCACACCACTATCATCATCACCATCACACCACTATCATCATCACCATCACACCACCACCACCAGTGCCCGCTATATCTTTAACCCGAACTTTATTAATATTTTCCAATCATTGTACAACCGATGAAAAAAGTGACCGCACTCTGAATGTTTCATTTGCGTTGGGTTCTCTGCGCGCTTGCCGTGTGTACGTGGCGTGTGTACATGTCGTGTGTACATGTCGTGTGTACATGTCGTGTCGTGTGTACATGTCGTGTGTACATGTCGTGTGTACATGTGTGTCGTGTGTACATGTCGTGTCGTGTGTACATGTCGTGTGTACATGTGTGTCGTGTGTACATGTGTGTCGTGTGTACGTGTCGTGTCGTGTGTACATGTCGTGTGTACATGTCGTGTGTACATGTGTGTCGTGTGTACATGTCGTGTGTACATGTGTGTCGTGTGTACGTGTCGTGTCCTGTGTACATGTGTGTCGTGTGTACATGTCGTGTGTACGTGTCGTGTGTACGTGTCGTGTGTACATGTGTGTCGTGTGTACATGTGTGTACATGTCGTGTGTACGGTGTCGTGTGTACATGTCGTGTGTACGTGTCGTGTGTACGTGTGTGTGTACGTGTCGTGTCCTGTGTACATGTCGTGTCGTGTGTACATGTGTGTCGTGTGTACATGTCGTGTCGTGTGTACGTGTCGTGTGTACATGTGTGTCGTGTGTACATGTGTGTCGTGTGTAGTGTACATGTGTGTCGTGTGTACATGTCGTGTGTACAATGTCGTGTGTACATGTCGTGTGTACGTGTCGTGTGTACATGCATGTCGTGTCGTGTGTACATGTCCTGTGTACGTGTCGTTTGTACATGTCGTGTGTACATGTGTGTCGTGTGTACATGTCGTGTCGTGTGTACGTGTCGTGTGTACGTGTCGTGTGTACATGCCGTGTGTACATGTCGTGTCGTGTGTACATGTGTGTCGTGTGTACGTGTCGTGTGTACATGTCGTGTCGTGTGTACATGTGTGTCGTGTGTACGTGTCGTGTGTACATATGTGTACATGTCGTGTGTACGTGTCGTGTGTACATGTCGTGTGTACATGCATGTCGTGTCGTGTGAACATGTCCTGTGTACGTGTCGTGTGTACATGCATGTCGTGTGTATACACGTGTCGTGTGTGCATGCGTGTCGTGTGTACGCGACACGTGTATACACACGTGTCGCGTGTATGCGTGTCGTGTGTACATGTCGTGTGTACATGCATGTCGTGTCGTGTGTGCGTGCGTGTCGTGTGTACATGTCGCGTGTACGCACGTGTCGTGTGTACACACGTGTCGTGTGTGTGCGCGCGTTCCACTTTACAAGGAGGTTTAAATAAAAAAATAACGATCATCTTCGGATAGCTCATTGGCATTGTACAACATCAACAACATCAACATCGTCATCATCGACGTCATCATCGACGTCATCGTCGACAACATCGTCGTTATTGACGCCGCCATTGATAACGCCATCATCGACAACATCGTCGGCATCGACGTCATCGTCGGCATCGACGTCATCGTCGGCATCGACGTCATCATCGACAACGTCATCATCGACAACGTCATCATCGACAACGTCATCATCGACATCGTCATCGACAACGTCGTCATCGACAACGTCGTCATCGACAACGTCGTCATCGACAACGTCGTCATCGACAACGTCGTCATCGACAACGTCGTCATCGACAACGTCGTCATCGACAACGTCGTCATCGACAACGTCATTATCGACGTGCGAGCGAGCGAGCGGGCGGGAGAGCGATGATCACTCAGCCGAGAGAGCGAGAGGGTGAGAGTGAGAGAGTGTGAGTGAGAGAGGGAGAGAGTGAGAGAGTGAGTGAGTGAGAGACTGAGAGAGAGACTGAGAGAGAGAGTGAGAGAGTGAGAGAGGGAGAGAGTGAGAGAGTGAGAGAGTGTGAGAGTGAGAGAGTGAGTGAGAGAGTGAGAGAGAGTGAGAGAGTGGGAGTGAGAGAGTGAGAGGGTGAGAGTGGGAGTGAGTGAGAGAGTGTGAGTGAGTGAGTGTGTGAGTGAGAGAGAGTGAGTGTGAGAGTGATTGAGTGAGTGTGAGGGTGAGTGAGAGAGAGTGAGTGAGAGAGTGAGTGAGTGAGAGAGTGAGAGAGTGTGTGAGTGAGAGAGTGAGAGAGTGAGAGTGGGAGTGAGAGAGAGAGTGAGTGAGAGTGAGTGAGTGAGAGTTAGTGAGAGTGAGTGAGAGAGTGAGAGAGTGTGAGAGTGAGAGAGTAAGAGAGTGAGTGAGAGTGTGAGAGAGAGAGTGAGCGAGTGAGAGAGTGAGAGAGTGAGAGAGTGTGAGAGAGAGTGAGAGGAGAGTGAGAGTGAGAGAGTGAGAGAGTGTGAGAGAGAGAGTGAGAGTGAGAGGGTGAGAGAGTGAGAGAGAGAGTGAGAGAGAGAGTGAGAGGGTGAGAGAGTGAGAGAGTGAGAGAGAGTGATGAGAGAGAGAGTGAGGGAGTGAGAGGGTGAGAGAGTGAGAGTGAGAGAGAGAGTGAGAGTGCGAGTGAGAGAGAGTGAGATGAGAGTGAGAGAGTGAGAGAGTGAGAGAGATGTGAGAGAGTGAGGTGTGAGAGTGAGAGAGAGGGTGAGTGAGTGTGAGAGTGAGTGAGAGAGAGAGTGAGTGAAGAGAGTGTGAGAGAGTGAGTGAGTGAGAGTATGAGTGAGAGTGAGTGAGTGAGGCAGTGTGAGAGTGAGATTGTGAGAGTGTAGAGTGTGAGAGTGAGAGACAGTGTGAGAGTGAGAGGGTGAGAGAGTGTGAGAGTGAGTGTGAGTGAGTGTGAGAGTGAGTGAGTGAGAGCACAAAACAAACTCTTTACCACCACAGAAATCTCCCCCCCCTCCCCCCCAGGACCAGTCCCCCCACCCCCCACCCCCACACCACCACCCCCCCTTCACCCCCCCCCCCCCCCCGGGCACCCCCCCCCCCGAACCACCAACGCCACGCGCAGAAACACGACAGGACCGGGTGGGAAGAGGACACACATTGTCTGATGGTGGTGATGTGTGTGATGGTGGTGGTGGTGATGGTGATGGTGGTGGTGATGGTGGTGATGGTGGTGGTGATGATGGTGGTGGTGATGGTGGTGGTGATGGTGGTGGTGGTGATGGTGGTGTGATGGTGGTGATGGTGGTGGTGGATGATGGTGGTGGTGATGGTGGTGGTGATGGTGGTGGTGATGTGGTGGTAGTGATGGTGGTGGTGATGGTGGTGGTGGTGGTGATGGTTGTGGTGGTGGTGGTGATGGTGGTGGTGGTGATGGTGGTGGTGATGGTGGTGGTGGTGATGGTGGTGGTGATGGTGGTGGTGATGGTGGTGGTAGTGATGTGGTGGTGATGGTGGTGGTGGTGGTGATGGTGGTTGATGGTGGTGGTGATGGTGGTGGTGGTGGTGATGGTGGTGATGGTGGTGGTGATGATGGTGGTGGTGATGGTGGTGTGTGATGGTGGTGGTGATGGTGGTGGTGATGGTGGTGGTAGTGATGGTGGTGGTGATGGTGGTGGTGGTGATGATGGTGGTCATGGTGGTGGTGGTGATGGTGGTGGTGATGGTGGTGGTGATGGTGGTGGTGGTGATGGTGGTGGTGGTGGTGATGGTGGTGGTGATGGTGGTGGTGGTGGTGATGGTGGTGGTGATGGTGGTGGTGGTGATGGTGGTGGTGGTGGTGATGGTGGTGGTGGTGGTGATGGTGGTGGTGGTGATGGTGGTGGGGGTGGTGATGGTGATGGTGGTGGTGATGGTGGTGATTGGTGGTGGTGATGATGGTGGTGGTGATGGTGGTGGTGATGGTGGTGGTGGTGATGGTGGTGGGGGTGGTGATGGTGATGGTGGTGGTGATGGTGGTGGTGGTGATGGTTGTGGTGATGGTGGTGATGGTGGTGATGGTGGTGGTGGTGATGGTGGTGATGGTGGTGGTGATGGTGGTGATGGTGGTGATGTCCTGGTGGTGATGGCGGTGGTGGTGATGGTGGTGATGTCCTGGTGGTGATGGTGGTGGTGGTAATGGTGATGGTGGTGATGGTGGTGGAGGTGACGTTCTGGTGGTGGTGATGTCCTGGTGGTGATGGCGGCGGTGACGATGGTGGCAGTGATGGCGGCGGTGGTGGTGGTCGAGAGGGTGGTGATGGTGGAGGTGACGTTCTGGTGGTGGTGGTGATGTCCTGGTGGTGATGTCCTGGTGGTGATGGCGGCGGTGACGATGGTGACGATGGTGGCGGTGATGGCGGCGGTGACGATGGTGACGATGGTGGCGGTAATGGCGGCGGTGACGATGGTGACGATGTGGCGGTGATGGCGGCGGTGACGATGGTGACGATGGTGGCGGTGATGGCGGGTGGTGGCGGCGGTGGTGGTCAGAGAGGGTGGCGGTGGGCGGCGATGGGGTGGCGGCAACATGGCCGCCGCCGACGCTGGCGTGCGGTGCCGGCGGCGTGCGTCTCTAGACGTAGGCCCGGCAGCCGACGTAGAGGCCTAGCGACAGGGCACCCGAGCAGGAAGGCTCCGGCCACCACCGGCCGCCAGCCCCGCCCGCCGTGCCACCGCCGCAGGCCGGCGCCACCACCACGCGGTGACGCGGGAGAGCCGCCGGCAGAGCCGCCGGGAGAGCCGCCGGGAGAGGCCGCCCGCTCGGCCAGGCGCTGCCGGACGCCGCATCGCGTCCAGGCGCTCCGCCATGGCCGCACGGCGAAGACTCACGGCGCTGGCGCTGGGCACGGCGGTCAGGAGCCGCACGGAGAGCCGGGCTGGGGGGCCGTTGGTGGTGGTGGTGGTGGTTGAGGTGGTGGTTGAGGTGGTGGTGGTGGCGGTGGTTGTGGTTGAGGTGGTGGTGGTGGTTGAGGTGGTGGTTGAGGTTGAGGTGGTGGTGGTTGAGGTGGTGTGGTTGAGGTGGTAGTGGTGGTTGTGGTGGTGGTGGTAGTGGGTGGTGGTGGTTGAGGTGGTGATGGTGAGGTGGTGGTGGTTGAGGTGGTAGTGGTGGTGGTGGTAGTGGTGGTGGTGGTTGAGGTGGTGGTGGTTGAGGTGGTGGTTGAGGTGGTGGTTGAGGTGGTGGTGGTTGAGGTGGTAGTGGTGGTGGTGGTAGTGGTGGTGGTGGTTGAGGTGGTGGTGGTTGAGGTGGTGGTTGAGGTGGTGTTGAGGTTGAGGGGTGGTGGTGTGAGGTGGTAGTGGTGGTGGTGGTGGTGTAGTGGTGGTTGAGGTGGTGGTAGTGGTAGTGAGGTGGTGGTGGTAGTGGTAGTTGAGGTGGTGGTGTGGTGGTAGTGATGGTGGTAGATGGTGGTGGTAGTGGTGGTGTGATAAGTGATGGTGGTGGTGTTAGAATGGTGTGGTAGTGGTGGTGGTGGTAGTGGTGTTAGTTGGTGGTGGCAGTGGTGGTAGTGGTGGTGGTGGTAGTGTGGTGGGTAGTGGTGTTAGTTGGTGGTGGTGGTAGTGGTGGTAGTGGTGGTGGTGGTGTTAGATGGTGGTGGTAGTGGTGGTGGTAGTGGTGGTAGTGGTGGTGGTGTTAGTTGGTGGTCGTAGTGGTGGTGGTGGTGTTAGTTGGTGGTGGTGTTGGTAATGGTGTTAGTTGGTGGTGGTAGTGGTGGTGGTGGTGTTAGTTGGTGGTGGTGTTGGTAATGGTGTTAGTTGGTGGTGGTAGTGGTGGTGGTGGTGTTAGTTGGTGGTGGTAGTGGTGTTAGTTGGTGGTGGTAGTGGTGGTGGTGTTAGTTGGTGGTGGTGGTAGTGGTGTTAGTTGGTGGTGGTGGTAGTGGTGTTAGTTGGTGGTGGTGGTAGTGGTGGTGGTGGTAGTGGTGTTTAGTTGGTGGTGGTAGGTAGTGGTGTTAGTTGGTGGTGGTGGTAGTGGTGTTAGTTGGTGTTAGTTGGTGGTGGTGGTAGTGGTGGTTGTAATGAGTGTAGGAGATAAGTGGGAGAGAGGGAGAGAGATGAAGGTTAGTCACAGAGACTCATGTTGCTCCATTTGCAAAACTAATTAATTAATTGGCCACTAACTAACACTCCCCAATGCCCGGCTCACTGCCCGTGTGGGAGGTTCAACCACAGCCACCGCCCTAGTTAATACTGCTGTGTGATGAGTCTATGGCTCTCTGCTGTGTGATGAGTCTATGGGTCTCTGCTGTGTGATGAGTCTATGGCTCTCTGCTGTGGTGAGTCTATGGGTCTCTGTGTGGTGAGTCTATGGGTCTCTGCTGTGTGATGAGTCTATGGATCGCTGCTGTGTGATGAGTCTATGGGTCTCTGCTGTGTGATGAGTCTATGGGTCTCTAATGTGTGATGAGTCTATGGGTCTCTGCTGTGCGATGAGTCTACGGGTTCTCTGCTGTGTGATGAGTCTATGGCTCTCTGCTGTGTGATGAATCTATCGGTCTCTGCTGTGTGATGAGTCTACGGGTCTCTCATGATGAGTCTATGGGTCTCTGCTGCGTGATGAGTCTACGGGTCTCTATGATGAGTCTAGGGTCTCTGCTGTGTGATGAGTCTATGGGTCTCTGTGTGATGAGTCTATGGGTCTCTACTGTGTGGTGAGTCTATGGGTCTCTGTGTGGTGAGTCTATGGGTCTCTGCTGTGTGATGAGTCTATGGGTCTCTGCTGTGTGATGAATCTATGGGTCTCTGTGTGATGAGTCTATGGGTCTTACTGTGTGGTGAGTCTATGGGTCTCTGTGTGGTGAGTCTATGGGTCTCTGCTGTGTGATGAGTCTATGGGTCTCTGCTGTGTGCTGAGTCTATAGGTCTCTGTGTGATGAGTCTATGGGTCTCTACTGTGTGGTGAGTCTATGGGTCTCTGTGTGGTGAGTCTATGGGTCTCTGCTGTGTGATGAGTCTATGACTCTCTGCTCTGTGATGAGTCTATGGCTCTCTGCTGTGTGATGAGTCTATGGTCTCTGCTGTGTGATGATTCTATGGCTCTCTGCTGTGTGATGAGTCTATGGCTCTCTGCTGTGTGATGAGTATATGGGTCTCTGTGTGATGAGTCTATGGGTCTCTACTGTGTGGTGAGTCTATGGGTCTCTGTGTGGTGAGTCTATGGGTCTCTGCTGTGTGATGAGTCTATGGGTCTCTGCTGTGTGATGAATCTATGGGTCTCTGTGTGATGAGTCTATGGGTCTCTACTGTGTGGTGAGTCTATGGGTCTCTGTGTGGTGAGTCTATGGGTCTCTGCTGTGTGATGAGTCTATGGGTCTCTGTGTGATGAGTCTATGGCTCGCTGCTGTGTGATGAGTCTATGGGTCTCTGTGTGTGATGAGTTCCGTGCCGTCACCTCGAGTTTTGCCATCCGGCATCCTCCTCCCCCTTCCCCTCCTCGTCGTCAAAGTTCACCGGGGCCACCGCCACCGCCGCCGCCGCTGCCGCCACCGCTGCCTCCTCCTCCGGACACCCCGGCAACACCGACGCCGGCACGGCCGTCGTCCCGGCAACGCGCCGGAACCGTAACGCCGGCGCCGGCGGCGGCGACGACGGCGGCGATGGCGGAGGAGACGGTGAGGAGTTGACGGAGGAGGAGGTGGCGGTGGAGGCGGTGGGTGGCGGTGGTGGAGGTGGTGGTGGCGGTGGAGGCGGTGAGATCTGGCGCCGGGCGACGCTCCGGACGCGGCGGCGCAGGCGGAGGCAATCCGGTGAGAGTTGTCGGTCAACCATCGGCCACCACCACCATCACCGTTGTCGCACCACCACCACCATCACCGTCGTCGCCAACGTCGTTCGACAGATCCATCCACCGCTCCTGCAGTGGACAAGCGACACACAGAGAGCCATAGACTCATCATAGAGACCCATAGACTCATCAAACAGCAGAGACCCATAGACTCATCACACAAGCAGAGACCCATAGACTCATCACACGCAGAGACACATAGACTCATCATAGAGACCCATAGACTCATCAAACAGCAGAGACCAATAGAATCATCACAGCAGAGACCCATAGTACTTCATCACACAGCAGATCCCATAGACTCATCACACAGCGAGACCCATAGACTCATCACACAGCAGAGACCTATAGACTCATCATAGAGACCCATAGACTTATCATAGAGACCCATAGAATCATCATAGAGACCCATAGACTCATCACACAGCAGAGAGCCATAGACTCATCACACAGCAGAGACACATAGACTCATCACACGCAGAGACCATAGACTCATCATAGAGACCCATAGGACTCATCATAGAGACCCATAGACTCATCACACAGCAGAGACCCATAGACTCATCACACAGCAGAGACCCATAGACTCAACACACAGCAGAGACCCATAGACTCATCACACAGCAGAGACCCATAGGACTCATCATAGAGACCCATAGACTCATCACACAGCAGAGACCCATAGACTCATCACACAGCAGAGACCCGATAGACTCATCATAGAGACCCATAGACTCATCACACAGCAGAGACCCATAGACTCATCACACACAGAGACCATAGACTCATCACAGCAGAGACCCATAGACTCATCACACAGCAAAGACTCATAGACTCATCACACAGCAGAGAGCCATAGACTAATCACACAGCAGAGACCCATAGACTCATCACACAGCAGAGACTCATAGACTCATCATAGAGAGCCATAGACTCATCATAGAGACCCATAGAACTCATCACACAGCAGAGACCCATAGACTCATCACAAGCAGAGACCCAATAGACTCATCACACAGCAGAGACCCATAGACTCATCATAGAGACCCATAGACTTATCATAGAGCCCATAGAATCATCATAGAGACCCATAGACTCATCACACAGCAGAGAGCCATAGACTCATCACACAGCAGAGACCCATAGACTCATCACACACAGAGACCCTAGACTCATCACAGCAGAGACCCATAGACTCATCACACAGCAAAGACTCATAGACTCATCACACAGCAGAGAGCCATAGACTAATCACACAGCAGAGAACCCATAGACTCCATACACACAGCAGAGACTCATAGACTCATCATAGGAGCCATAGACTCATCATAGAGACCCAAATAGACTCATCACACAGCAGAGACCCATAGACTCATCACACAGCAGAGACCCATAGACTCATCACACAGCAGAGACCCATAGACTCATCATAGAGACCCATAGACTTATCATAGAGGACCCATAGAATCATCATAGAGACCCATAGACTCATCACACAGCAGAGAGCCATAGACTCATCACACAGCAGAGACCCATAGACTCATCACACAGCAGAGACCCATAGACTCATCATAGAGACCCATAGACTCATCATAGAGACCCATAGACTCATCATAGAGACCCATAGACTCATCACACAGCAGAGAGCCATAGACCTCCATCACACAGCAGAGACCCATAGACTCATCACACAGCAGAGACCCATAGACTCATCATAGAGACCCATAGACTCATCATAGAGACCCATAGACTCATCATAGAGACCCATAGACTCATCACACAGCAGAGAGCCATAGACTCATCACACAGCAGAGACCCATAGACTCATCATAGAGACCCTTAGACTCATCACACAGCAGAGACCCATAGATTCATCACACAGCAGAGACCCATAGACTCATCACATAGCAGAGACCCATAGACTCATCACACACCAGAGACCCATAGACTCATCATAGAGACCCATAGACTCATCACACAGCAGAGACCCATAGACTCATCACACAGCAGAGACCCATAGACTCATCATAGAGACCCATAGACTCATCACACACAGAGACCCATAGACTCATCATAGAGACCCATAGACTCATCACACGGCAGAGACCCATAGACTCATCACACAGCAGAGACCCATAGACTCATCACACACAGAAACCCATAGACTCATCATAGAGACCCATAGACTCATCACACAGCAGAGACCAATAGACTCATCACACAGCAGAGACCCATAGCCTCATCACACAGCAGAGACCCATAGACTCATCACACAGCAGAGAACCCATAGACTCATCATAGAGACCCATAGACTCATCACACAGCAGAGACCCATAGACTCATCACACAGCAGAGACCCATAGACTCATCACACACAGAGACCCATAGACTCATCACACAGCAGAGACCCACAGATCATCATAGAGACCCATAGACTCATCACACAGCAGAGACCCATAGACTCACCACAGACACCCATAGGACTCACACAGACACCCATAGACTCACACAGACACCCAAAGACTCACACAGAGACCCATAGACTCACACAGACACCCATAGACTCACAAAGACACCCATAGACTCACAAAGACACCCAGAGACTCATCACAGGACACCCATAGTCTCACACAGAGACCCAGGGAGACTCATCACACAGACACCCATAGACTCACAAAGACTCATCACAGAGACCCCTAGACTCACACAAGACACCCATTAGACTCACACAGACACCCATAGACTCACACAGACACCCAAAGACTCACACAGAGACCCATAGACTCACACAGACACCCATAGACTCACAAAGACACCCATAGACTCACACAGAGAACCCATAGACTCACACAGGCACCACCACTCCCACAGAGACACATAGACTCACACAGACACCCATAGACTCACACAGACACCCAAAGACTCACACAGAGACCCATAGACTCACACAGAGACCCATAGACTCACACAGACACCCACAGACTCACAAAGACACCCATAGACTCACACAGACACCCATAGACTCACACAGACACCCATAGACTCACACAGACACCCACAGACTCACACAGAGACCCATAGACTCACACAGACACCCATAGACTCACAAAGACACCCATAGACTCACAAAGACACCCAGAGACTCATCACAGACACTCATAGTCTCACACAGAGACCCAGAGACTCATCACACAGACACCCATAGACTCACAAAGACTCATCACAGAGGACCCATAGACTCCACACAGACACCCATAGACTCACACAGACACCCATAGACTCACACAGAGACCCATAGACTCACACAGACACCCATAGACTCACACAGACACCCAAAGACTCACACAGAGACCCATAGACTCACACAGAGACCCATAGACTCACACAGAGACCCATAGCCTCACACAGACACCCAGAGACTCACAAAGACACCCACAGACTCACACAGACACCCAGAGACTCACACAGACACCCACAGACTCACACAGAGACCCATAGACTCACACAGACACCCATAGACTCACACAGACACCCATAGACTCACACAGACACCCACAGACTCACAAAGACACCCATAGACTCACACAGACACCCAGAGACTCATCACACAGACACCCATAGACTCATCACACAGAGACCCATCGACTCACACAGACACCCATAGACTCACACAGAGACCCATAGACTCATCACAGACACCCATAGACTCACACAGAGACCCATAGACTCACACAGAGACCCATAGACTCACACAGACACCCATAGACACACACAGACACCCATAGACTCACACAGACACCCATAGACTCACAAAGACACCCATAGACACACACAGAGACCCATAGACTCATCAACAGACACCCATAGACTCACACAGAGACCCATAGACTCACACAGACACCCCACAGACTCACACAGACACCCAGAGACTCACACAGACACCCACAGACTCACACAGAGACCCATAGACTCACACAGACACCCATAGACTCACACAGACACCCATAGACTCACCACAGAGACCCACAGACTCACAAGACACCCATAGACTCACACAGACACCCAGAGACTCATCACACAGACACCCTAGACTCATCACACAGAGACCCATCGACTCACACAGACACCCATAGACTCACACAGAGACCCATAGACTCATCACAGACACCCATAGACTCACACAGAGACCCATAGACTCACACAGAGACCCATAGACTCACACAGACACCCATAGACACACACAGACACCCATAGACTCACACAGACACCCATAGACTCACAAAGACACCCATAGACACACACAGAGACCCATAGACTCATCACAGACACCCATAGACTCACACAGAGACCCATAGACTCACACAGACACCCATAGACTCACACAGACACCCATAGACTCACACAGAGACCCATAGACTCACACAGACACCCATAGACTCACACAGACACCCAAAGACTCACACAGACACCCATAGACTCACAAAGACACCCATAGACTCACAAAGACACCCAGAGACTCATCACAGACACCCATAGTCTCACACAGAGACCCAGAGACTCATCACACAGACACCCATAGACTCACAAAGACTCATCACAGAGACCCATAGACTCACACAGACACCCATAGACTCACACAGACACCCATAGACTCACACAGACACCCAAAGACTCACACAGAGACCCATAGACTCACACAGACACCCATAGACTCACAAAGACACCCATAGACTCACACAGAGACCCATAGACTCACACAGACACCCACAGACTCACACAGAGACCCATAGACTCACACAGACACCCATAGACTCACACAGACACCCAAAGACTCACACAGACACCCATAGACTCACAAAGACACCCATAGACTCACAAAGACACCCAGAGACTCATCACAGACACCCATAGTCTCACACAGAGACCCAGAGACTCATCACACAGACACCCATAGACTCACAAAGACTCATCACAGAGACCCATAGACTCACACAGACACCCATAGACTCACACAGAGACCCATAGACTCACACAGACACCCATAGACACACACAGACACCCATAGACTCACCACAGACCCCCATAGACTCATCACACAGAGACCCAGAGACTCACAAAGACACCCATAGACTCACACAGACACCCAGAGACTCATCACACCGTGTCCACGAGCGCCAAATGCAACTCGCCTCGATTTCGGCACCGCCGCCGCCGCCGCCGCCGGGGGCTGCCATCACGGTCTTGGCGCCTTCGATGATGGCGAGGTAAGAAAATCGGAGCTGGTCCGGCGTTTGTATGAGCCCCATTCGGCACCTCCGCATCTCCAGCAGCACGGCACGAACGTCCACCGGCCTGGGTCCACCACGGCCGCCACCAGCGACGCCGTCGGCACCGGCACCGGCCATCTGTCGCGAGTGCCACGGTCGCAGGGGAGATGTTGACGACCTCGCCGGGGCTACGGGAGGTCGTCGCTTCCAGCCCGACCGCGACGCCTGCTGTCTATTGGGAGTCTGCGTCACTCACCCACTCACTCACCCACTCACTCACCCACTTACTGACTCACTCACTCACACACTCACTCACCCACTCACCCACTCACTCACTCACTCACCCACTCACCCACTTACTCACACACTCACCCACTCACCCACTTACTCACACACTCACTCACCCACCTACTCACTCACTCACCTACTCACTCACTCACTTACTCACCCACCTACTCACTCACTCACCCACTCACTCACCCACTTACTGACTCACTCACTCACACACTCACTCACACACTCACCCACTCACTCACTCACTCACCCACTCACCCACTCACTCACACACTCACCCACTCACCCACTTACTCACACACTCACTCACCCACCTACTCACTCACTCACCTACTCACTCACTCACTTACTCACCCACCTACTCACTCACTCACCCACTCACTCACCCACTCACCCACCTACTCACTCACCCACTCACCCACTCACTCACCCACTCACTCACCCACTCACCCACTCACTCACCCACTTACTCACACACTCACTCACTCACTCACCCACTCACTCACTCACTCATCCACTCACTCACCCACTCACCCACTCACTCACACACTCACTCACCCACCTACTCACTCACTCACCTACTCACTCACTCACTTACTCACCCACCTACTCACTCACTCACCCACTCACTCACCCACTCACCCACCTACTCACTCACCCACTCACCCACTCACTCACCCACTCACTCACCCACTCACCCACTCACTCACTCACTTACTCACTCAATTACTCACTCATCCACTCACTCACCCACTTACTCACTCACCCACTCACTCACCCACTCACTTACTTACTTACCCACTCACTCACCCACTCACTCACCCACTCACCCACTCACTCACTCACTCACCCACTCACTCACTCACTCACCCACCTACTCACTCACCCACTCACCCACTCACTCACCCACCTACTCACTCACTCACTCACTCACCCACTCACTCACTCACCCACTCACTCACCCACTCACTCACTCACTCACCCACCCACTCACTCACTCACTCACCCACCTACTCACTCACTCACTCACTCACCCACTCACTCACTCACTCACCCACCTACTCACTCACCCACTCACCCACTCACTCACCCACCTACTCACTCACTCACTCACCCACTCACTCACTCACCCACTCACTCACCCACTCACTCACTCACTCACCCACCCACTCACTCACTCACTCACCCACCTACTCACTCACTCACTTACTCACTCAATTACTCACTCATCCACTCACTCATCCACTTACTCACTCACTCACTCACACACTCACTCACCCACCTACTCACTCACTCACCCTCTCACTCACCCACTCACTCATCCACTCACTCACCCACTCACCCACTCACTCACTCACTTACTCACTCATCCACTTACTCACTCACTCACTCACACACTCACTCACTCACCCACTTACTCACACACTCACTCACTCACTCACACACTCACTCACTCACCCACCCACTCAATTACTCACACATCCACTCACTCACCCACTCACTCACTCACACACTCACTCACTCACTCACCCACCTACTCACTCACCCACTCACTCACCCACTCACTCACCCACTCACTCACTTACCCACTCACTCACACACTCACTCACTCACCCACTCACTCACCTACTCACTCACCCACTTACTCACACACTCACTCACACACTCACTCACTCACTCACCCACTTACTCACTCACCCACTCACTCACCCACTCACTCACTTACCCACTCACTCACACACTCACTCACTCACCCACTCACTCACCCACTTACTCACCCACTCACCCTCTCACTCACCCACTCACTCACTTACTCACTCACCCACTTACTCACTCACTTACCCACTCACCCACTCACTTACTTACTCACTCACCCACTCACTCACTCACTCACCCACTCACTCACCCACTCACTCACTCACTCACCCACTCAATTACACACTCACCCACTCATCCACTCACTCACTCACCCACCCACCCACTCACCCACCCACCCACCCACCCACCCCCTCACCCACCCACCCACCCACCAGCAGTAGGCACGTGTCCACCAGGCAGAAGGTTCCGGAGCGCCCGATGCCGGCGCTGCAGTGCACGAGGCTGGGCCCGTGGCAAGGCCCGAGGCCTCTAGTGGGGCCCTGGGGCCCGTGGCAAGGCCCCAGGGCCCCACTGGAGCGGACTTCCTGCAGGAAGCTGAGGAACGAGGCCGGCGAGTCTGGCACCCCAAAGTCGGGCCACGTGGTGTAGTGGAAGTGCAGAGCTGTGCGACTCTCTCCTGTCTGGGGGGGAGACAGGGGGGAGAGAGGGGAGTGTGGGGAGTGGGGGGAGACAGGGGAGTGTGGTTAGTGTGGTGAGTGTGGTGAGTGGGGGGAGACAGGGGAGTGTGGTGAGTGTGGTGAGTGGGGGGAGACAGGGGAGTGTGGTGAGTGTGGTGAGTGGGGGGAGACAGGGGAGTGTGGTGAGTGTGGTGAGTGGGGGGAGACAGGGGAGTGTGGTGAGTGTGGTGAGTGTGGTGAGTGGGGGGAGACAGGGGAGTGTGGTGAGTGTGGTGAGTGGGGGGAGACAGGGGAGTGTGGTGAGTGTGGTGAGTGGGGGGAGACAGGGGAGTGTGGTGAGTGTGGTGAGTGGGGGGAGACAGGGGAGTGTGGTGAGTGTGGTGAGTGTGGTGAGTGGGGGGAGACAGGGGGGATAGAGGGGAGTGTGGTGAGTGTGGTGAGTGTGGTGAGTGTGGTGGGTGTGGGGGAGACAGGGGAGTGTGGTGGGGGTGGTGAGTGGGGGGAGACAGGGGAGTGTGGTGAGTGTGGTGAGTGGGGGGGAGACAGGGGAGTGTGGTGAGTGTGGTGAGTGTGGTGAGTGGGGGGAGACAGGGGGGATAGAGGGGAGTGTGGTGAGTGTGGTGAGTGTGGTGAGTGTGGTGGGTGTGGGGGAGACAGGGGAGTGTGGTGGGGGTGGTGAGTGGGGGGAGACAGGGGAGTTTGGTGAGTGTGGTGAGTGTGGTGAGTGTGGGGAGACAGGGGGAGAGAGGAGAGTGTGGTGAGTGTGGTGAGCGTGGTGGTGTGGTGGGTGTGGTGGGAGTGGTGAGTGTGGTGAGTGTGGTGAGTGTGGTGAGTGTGGTGGGGGTGGTGAGTGTGGTGAGTGTGGTGAGTGGGGGGAGACAGGGGAGTGTGGTGAGTGTGGTGAGTGTGGTGAGCGTGGTGAGAGTGGTGAGCGTGGTGATCGTGGTGATCGTGATGAGCGTGGTGAGTGTGGTGTGCGTGGTGAGTGTGTTGGGGGTGGTGAGTGTAGTGAGTGTGGTGAGTGTGGTGGTGTGGTGAGTTTGGTGAGTTTGATGAGCGTGGTGAGCGTGGTGAGAGTGGTGAGTGTGGTGAGCGTGGTGGGGGTGGTGAGTGTGGTGAGTGTAGTTGCGTGGGGAGTGTGGTGAGTGTGGTGAGCGTGGTGAGTGTGGTGAGTGTGGTGAGCGTGGTGAGTGTGGTGAGTGTGGTGAGTGTGGTGGGGGTCGTGAGTGTGGTGAGTGTGGTGAGCGTGGTGAGTGTGGTGAGTGTGGTGAGCGTGGTGGGTGGGGGGAGACAGGGGAGTGTGGTGAGTGTGGTGAGCGTGGTGAGAGTGGTGAGTGTGTTGAGTGTGGTGAGTGTGATGAGTGTGGTGAGTGTGGTGGGGGTGGTGATCGTGGTGAGTGTGGTGAGTGTGGTGAGTGTGGTGAGTGTGGTGGGTGGGGGGAGACAGGGGAGTGTGGTGAGTGTGGTGAGCGTCGTGAGAGTAGTGTGTGGTGAGTGTGGTGAGCGTGGTGAGTGTGGTGAGAGTGGTGAGTGTGGTGAGTGTGGTGAGTGGGGGGAGACAGGGGAGTGTGGTGAGTGTGGTGAGTGGGGGGAGACAGGGGAGTGTGGTGAGTGTGGTGAGTGTGGTGAGTGAGGGGAGTGTGGTGAGTGTGGTGAGTGTGGTGAGTGTGGGGAGACAGGGGGGAGAGAGGGGAGTGTGGTGAGTGTGGTGAGTGGGGGGAGACAGGGGAGTGTGGTGAGTGTGGTGAGTGTGGTGAGCGTGGTGGTGTGGTGGGTGTGGTGGGAGTGGTGAGTGTGGTGAGTGTGGTGGGGGTGGTGAGTGTGGTGGGGGTGGTGAGTGTGGTGAGTGTGGTGGGTGTGGTGAGTGGGGGGAGACAGGGGAGTGTGGTGAGTGTGGTGAGTGTGGTGAGCGTGGTGAGAGTGGTGAGCGTGGTGAGAGTGGTGAGCGTGGTGAGTGTGGTGAGTGTGGTGAGCGTGGTGAGTGTGGTGGGGGTGGTGAGTGTGGTGAGTGTGGTTAGTGTGGTGGTGTGGTGAGTTTGGTGAGTTTGATGAGCGTGGTGAGCGTGGTGAGAGTGGTGAGTGTGGTGCGCGTGGTGGGGGTGGTGAGTGTGGTGAGTGTGGTGGGGGTGGTGATCGTGGTGAGTGTGGTGAGTGTGGTGAGTGTGGTGAGTGTGGTGGGTGGGGGGAGACAGGGGAGTGTGGTGAGTGTGGTGAGCGTGGTGAGAGTGGTGAGTGTGGTGAGTGTGGTGAGCATGGTGAGTGTGGTGAGAGTGGTGAGTGTGGTGAGTGTGGTGGGGGTGGTGAGTGTGGTGAGCGTGGTGAGTGTGGTGAGTGTGGTGAGTGTGGTGAGCGTGGTGAGTGTGGTGAGTGTGGTGAGTGGGGGGAGACAGGGGAGTGTGGTGAGTGTGGTGAGCATGGTGAGAGTAGTGAGTGTGGTGAGTGTGGTGAGCGTGGTGAGAGTGGTGAGAGTGGTGAGTGTGGTGAGTGTGGTGAGTGTGGTGGGGGTGGTGAGTGTGGTGAGCGTGGTGAGCGTGGTGAGTGTGGTGAGCGTGGTGAGCGTGGTGAGTGTGGTGAACGTGGTGAGTGTGGTGAGTGTGGTGGGGGTGGTGAGTGTGGTGAGCGTGGTGAGTGTGGTGAGAGTGGTGAGTGTGGTGAGTGTGGTGAGTGTGGTGGGGGTGGTGAGTGTGGTGAGCGTGGGGAGCATGGGGAGTGTGGTGAGTGTGGTGAGCGTGGTGAGTGTGGTGAACGTGGTGAGTGTGGTGAGTGTGGTGAGTGTGGTGAGTGTGGTGAGTGTGGTGAGTGGGGGGAGACAGGGGAGTGTGGTGAGTGTGGTGAGCATGGTGAGAGTAGTGAGTGTGGTGAGTGTGGTGAGCGTGGTGAGAGTGGTGAGAGTGGTGAGTGTGGTGAGTGTGGTGGGGGTGGTGAGTGTGGTGAGCGTGGGGAGCGTGGTGAGTGTGGTGAGCGTGGTGAGCGTGGTGAGTGTGGTGAACGTGGTGAGTGTGGTGAGTGTGGTGGGGGTGGTGAGTGTGGTGAGCGTGGTGAGTGTGGTGAGCGTGCGTGGTGGGTGGGGGGGAGACAGGTGAGTGTGGTGAGTGTGGTGGGGGTGGTGAGAGTGGTGTGGTGAGCGTGGTGAGCGTGGTGAGTGTGGTGAGTGTGGTGAGTATGGTGAGCGTGGTGAGTTTGGTGAGTATGGTGAGCGTGGTGAGTGTGGTGAGTATGGTGAGTGTAGTGAGCGTGGTGGGTGGGGGAGAGACAGGGGAGTGTGGTGAGTGTGGTGAGTGTTGAGAGTAGTGAGTGTGGTGAGCGTGGTGAGTGTGGTGAGTGTTGAGAGTAGTGAGTGTGGTGAGCGTGGTGAGCGTGGTGAGTGTGGTGAGTGTCGTGGTGTGGTGAGCGTGGTGGTGAGCGTGGTGGTGTGGTGAGCGTGGTGATAGTGGTGAGAGTGGTGAGTGTGGTGAGTGTGGTGAGTGTGGTGGTGAGTGTGGTGAGTGTGGTGAGCGTGGTGGTGAGCGTGGTGATAGTGGTGAGAGTGGTGAGTGTGGTGAGGGTGGTGAGTGTGGTGGTGAGTGTTGTGAGTGTGGTGGTGAGTGTGGTGGTGAGTGACTCACTGTGAGGTTGTGTAGCTGTAGCTGCCTGAGTGTGTAGTGCACCTTGACCTGCTCACCCAGGAGGGTGAGTGTGGTGAGTGTGGTGAGTGTGGTGGAGGTGGTGGTGAGAGTGGTGAGTGTGGTGGTGAGTGTGGTGGTGAGTGTGGTGAGCGTGGTGAGTGTGGTGAGTGTGGTGGAGGTGGTGGTGAGAGTGGTGAGTGTGGTGGTGAGTGTGGTGGTGAGTGTGGTGGTGAGCGACTCACTGTGAGGTTGTGTAGCTGTAGCTGCCTGAGTGTGTAGTCCACCTTGACCTGCTCACCCAGGAGGGTGAGTGTGGTGGTGAGTGTGGTGAGCGTGATGGTGAGCGTGGTGAGTGTGGTGGTGAGTGTGGTGGTGAGTGTGGTGAGTGTGGTGAGTGTGGTGAGTGTGGAGAGTGTGGTGAGTGTGGAGAGTGTGGTGGTGAGTGACTCACTGTGAGGTTGTGTAGCTGTAGCTGCCTGAGTGTGTAGTCCACCTTGACCTGCTCACCCAGGAGGGTGAGGCGGAGCGCCACGTCCGGGAAACTCACCTCACGCTCACCACTAGACGGCCAATACTGCGCACACTTCACCTGCACTCACCACAGTCACCACACACACTCACCACAGTCACCACACACACTCACCACACACACTCACCAGTCACCACACTCACCACCACACTCACCACACTCACCACACACACTCACCACAGTCACCACAGTCACCACACACAGACTCACCACAGTCACCACAGTCACCACACTCACCACACACTCACCACAGTCACTCACCACAGTCACCACACACACACTCACCACACACACTTCACCTGCACTCACCACAGTCACCACACACACTCACCACTCACCATACACACTCACCACACACACTCACCAAAGTCACTTACCACTCACACTCACCACACATACACTCACACACCACACACACTTACCACTCACCACACACACTCACCACAGTCACTCACCACACACACTCACCACACACACTTCACCTGCACTCACCACAGTCACCACACACACACTCACCACACACACTCACCACACACACTCACCACAGTCACTCACCACAGTCACTCACCACAGTCACTCACCACACACACTCACAACACACACTTCACCTGCACTCACCACAGTCACCACACACACTCACCACACTCACCACACACACTCACCACACACTCACCACTCACCACACTCACACTCACCACAGTCACCACACACACTCACCACACTCACCACACACACTCACCACACACTCACCACTCACCACACTCACACTCACCACAGTCACCACACACACTCACCACACTCACCACACACACTCACCACACACTCACCACTCACCACACTCACACTCACCACAGTCACCACACACACTCACCACACTCACTTCACCTGCACTCACCACACACTCACCACTCACCACACTCACACTCACCACAGTCACCACACACATACTCACACACCACACACACTCACCACACACACTCACCACACACACTCACACACACACACACCACACACACTCACCACACTCACCACACTCACCACACACATACTCACACACCACACACACTCACCACACACACTCACCACACACACTCACACACACACACACCACACACACTCACACACCACACACACTCACACACCACACACACTCACCACAGTCACCACAGTCACCACACACACACTCACCACACACACTCACCACACACACTCACCACACACACTCACCACAGTCACTCACCACACACACTCACCACACACACTTCACCTGCACTCACCACACCACACACACTCACCACACACACTCACCACACTCACCACACACACCACACACTCACCACTCACCACACACACTCACCACACACACCCACCACACACACACACACACCACACACACTCACCACACACACTTCACCTGCATTCACCACAGTCACCACACACATTCACCACACTCACCACACACTCACCACACACTCACCACACTCACCCCACACACTCACCACACTCACCACACACACTCACCACACACTCACCACACTCACCACACACACTCACCACTCACCACACACACCACACACTCACCACTCACCACACACACTCACCACACACACACACCACACACTCACCACACACACTTCACCTGCACTCACCACAGTCACCACACACACTCACCACACTCACCACACACACTCATCACACACTCACCACACACCACACACACTCACCACACACCATACACACTCACCACACACACTTCACCTGCACTAACCACTCACCACACACACTCACCACACACACTCACAACACACACTCACCACACACACACACACCACACACACACTCACCACACACACACTCACCACACACACTCACCACACACACACCACACACACTCACCACACACTCACCACTCACACACACACTCACCACACACACTCACCACAGTCACCACACACACTCACCACACACACACTCACCACACACACTCACCACACACACTCACCACACACACACTCACCACACACACACTCACCACACACTCACCACACACACTCACACACACTCATTACTCACCACACACTCACCACGCACACTCACCACACACACACACCACACACACTCCACACACACACGACACACACACCACACACACACCACACATCACACACACACTCACCACACACACTCACCACACACACACACACCATACACACTCCACACACACTCCACACACACCACACACACACCACACACACTCTCCACACTCACTCACCACACACACTCACTCATGGCTGTGATGGTTGTTGTGGTGGTTGTTGTTGTGGTTGTTGTTGTGGTGGTTGTTGTAGTTGCTGTGGTTGTTGTTGCTGTGGTTGTTGTTGCTGTGGTTGTTGTTGCTGTGGTTGTTGTGGTTGTTGTTGCTGTGGTTGTTGTGGTTGTTGTTGTGGTTGTTGTTGTGGTTGTTGTTGTGGTTGTTGTTGTTGTGGTTGTTGTTGTGGTTGTTGTTGTTGTGGTTGTTGTTGTGGTTGTTATTGTGGTTGTGGTTGTTGTGGTTGTTGTTGTTGTTGTTGTTGCTGTGGTGGTTCTTGTGATGGTTGTGGTTGTTGTTGTTGTGGTTGTTGTGGTTGTTGTTGTGGTTGTTATTGTTGTTGTTGCTGTGGTGGTTCTTGTGATGGTTGTGGTTGTTGTTGTGGTCATTGTTGTGGTGGTTGCTGTGGTTGTTGTTGTTGCTGTGGTGTTCTTGTGATGGTTGTGGTTGTTGTTGTGGTTGTTGTTGTGGTTGTTATTGTGGTTGTTATTGTGGTTGTTGTTGTGGTTGTTGTTGTTGTGGTTGTTGTTGCTGTGGTGGTTGTTGTTGTGGTTGTTGTGGTTGTTGTTGTGGTTGTTGTTGTTGTGGTTGTTGTGGTTGTTGTGGTTGTTGTTGTGGTTGTTGTAATTGTTGTAGTTGTTGCTGTGGTTGTTGTTGTTATGGTTGTTGTTGTAATTGCTGTGGTGGTTCTTGTGATGGTTGTTGTGGTTGTTGTTGTAGTGGTTGTTGTGGTTGTTGTTGTTGTGGTTGTTGTTGTGGTTGTTGTGGTTGTTGTTGTTGTAGTAGTTGTTGTTGTGGTTGTTGTTGTGGTTTTTGTTGTGGTTGTTGTTGTGGTTGTTGTTGTGGTTGTGGTTGTAGTTGTTGTTGTTGTGGTTGTTGTTGTGGTTGTAGTAGTTGTGGTTGTAGTTGTGGTTGTTGTTGTAGTTGTTGTTGTGGTTGTTGTGGTTGTTGTTGTAGTTGTTGTTGTGGTTGTTGTTGTGGTTGTTGTTGTGGTTGTGGTTGGTGTTGTGGTTGTTGTGGTTGTGGTTGTAGTTGTTGTGGTTGTAGTTGTTGTTGTTGTGGTTGTTGTTGTAGTTGTTGTTGTGGTTGTTGTTGTGGTTGTTGTTGTTGTAGTAGTTGTTGTTGTTGTGGTTGTTGTTGTGGTTGTTGTTGTTGTGGTTGTTGTTGTTGTGGTTGTTGTTGTGGTTGTTGTTGTTGTGGTTGTAGTTGTTGTGGTTGTTGTTGTGGTTTTTGTGGTTGTAGTTGTAGTGGTTGTTGTAGTTGTTGTGGTTGTTGTTGTTGTGGTGGTTGTTGTTGTTGTTGTCCGCACCGATCCCTTCTCCACGAGGCGGTTCAGCATCACCACAGCTCGTGAGCGCTGCTCCCACGCCATCTGCCAGAAGTGGCCGCACGTGCTGGGGAGGGGGCCCTGGGGGGAGGGGCAAGGGGGAGGGGCAAAGGGGGAGGGGCATGGGGGCGGGGCATGGGGGCGGGGCATGGGGGCGGGGCATGGGGAGGGGCAAGGGGAGGGGCAAGAGGGGGAGGGGCAAGGGGGGAGGGGCATGGGGGGCGGGGCATGGGGGAGGGGCAAGGGGGGAGGGCCAAGGAGGGGAGGGGCATGGGGGGAGGGGCAAGGGGAGGGGCATGGGGGGGCGGGGGGGATGCGGGGGATCAGTGGTGGCAGCGCCAGGAAGGGGCGTTGGTGAGACACGGGGAGAGAGACACAGGGAGAGACACAGGGAGAGAGACACAGGGAGAGAGACACAGGGAGAGAGACACAGGGAGAGAGACACAGGGAGAGAGACACAGGGAGAGAGACACAGGGAGAGACAGAGAGAGAGACACAGGGAGAGAGACACAGGGAGAGAGACACAGGGAGAGAGACACAGGGAGAGAGACACAGGGAGAGACACAGGGAGAGACACAGGGAGAGAGACACAGGGAGAGAGACACAGGGAGAGAGACACAGGGAGAGAGACACAGGGAGAGAGACACAGGGAGAGAGACACAGGGAGAGACAGAGAGAGAGACACAGGGAGAGAGACACAGGGAGAGAGACACAGGGAGAGAGACACAGGGAGAGAGACACAGGGAGAGACAGAGAGAGAGACACAGGGAGAGAGACACAGGGAGAGAGACACAGGGAGAGAGACACAGGGAGAGAGACACAGGGAGAGAGACACAGGGAGAGAGACACAGGGAGAGAGACACAGGGAGAGAGACAGGGAGAGAGACAGGGAGAGACACAGGGAGAGACACAGGGAGAGACACAGGGAGAGACAGAGAGAGAGACAGAGAGAGAGACAGAGAGAGAGACAGGGAGAGAGACAGGGAGAGACACAGGGAGAGACACAGGGAGAGAGAGACATGGAGAGACACAGGGGGAGACAGGGAGAGAGACAGAGAGAGAGGCAGAGGGAGACACAGGGAAAGAGACAGGGAGACAGGGAGAGAGACAGAGAGAGACACAGGGAGAGACACGGGGAGAGACACGGGGAGAGAGACACAGGGAGAGACACAGGGAGAGACACAGGGAGAGAGAGACACAGGGAGACAGGGGGAGACACAGGGAGAGAGACAGGGAGAGAGACAGGGAGAGACAGAGAGAGAGACAGAGAGAGACAGGGAGGGAGACAGGGAGAGACACAGGGAGAGACACAGGGAGAGAGAGACAGAGAGAGACAGGGGGAGACACAGGGAGAGAGACAGGGAGACACAGGGAGAGAGACAGGGAGGGAGACAGGGAGGGAGACAGAGAGAGAGACAGGGAGAGACACGGGGAGAGACACGGGGAGAGACACGGGGAGAGAGACACGGGGAGAGAGACACGGGGAGACGCGGGGAAACAGACACGGAGAGAGACAGGGAGAGAGACACGGGGAGAGACGCGGGGAGAGAGACACGGAGAGAGACACGGGGAGAGAGACAGGGAGAGAGACAGGGAGAGAGACGGGGAGAGACACGGGGAGAGACACGGGGAGAGAGACACGGGGAGAGAGACAGAGAGAGAGACACGGGGAAAGAGACACGGGGAGAGACACGGAGAGACGTGGGGAGAGAAACACGGGGAGACACGGAGAGAGACAGGGAGAGAGACACGGGGAGAGAGACCGGGAGAGAAACGGGGAGAGAGACACGGGGAGACACGGAGAGAGAGAGAGAGAGAGACACAGGGAGAGAGACAGAGAGAGAGAGAGAGACAGGGAGGGAGACAGGGAGAGACACAGGGAGAGACACAGGGAGAGAGAGACAGAGAGAGACAGGGGGAGACGCGGGGAAACAGACACGGAGAGAGACAGGGAGAGAGACACGGGGAGAGACGCCGGGAGAGAGACACGGAGAGAGACACGGGGAGAGAGACAGGGAGAGAGACACGGGGAGAGAGACAGGGAGAGAGACACGGGGAGAGAGACAGGGAGAGAGACACAGGGAGAGACACAGGGAGAGACACAGGGAGAGAGAGACACAGGGAGAGACACAGGGAGACAGGGGGAGACACAGGGAGAGACACGGGGAGAGACACGGGGAGAGACACGGGGAGAGAGACACAGGGAGAGACACAGGGAGAGAGAGACACAGGGAGAGACACAGGGAGACAGGGGGAGACACAGGGAGAGAGACAGGGAGAGAGACAGGGAGAGACAGAGAGAGAGACAGAGAGAGACAGGGAGGGAGACAGGGAGAGACACAGGGAGAGACACAGGGAGAGAGAGACAGAGAGAGACAGGGGGAGACACAGGGAGAGAGACAGGGAGACACAGGGAGAGAGACAGGGAGGGAGACAGGGAGGGAGACAGAGAGAGAGACAGGGAGAGACACGGGGAGAGACACGGGGAGAGACACGGGGAGAGAGACACGGGGAGAGACACGGAGAGACGTGGGGAGAGAAACACGGGGAGACACGGAGAGAGACAGGGAGAGAGACCCGGGGAGAGAGAAACGGGGAGAGAGACACGGGGAGAGAGAAATGGGGAGAGAGACACGGGGAGAGAGAGACACAGGGAGAGAGAGACACGGGAGAGAGAGAGACGGGGAGAGAGAGAGACACGGGGAGAGAGAGACACGGGGAGAGAAACACGGGGAGAGAAACATGGGGAGAGAGACATGGGGAGAGAGACACGGGGGAGAGAGAAACGGGGAGAGAGAAACGGGGAGAGAGAGACATGGGGAGAGAGAGACATGGGGAGAGAGACACGGGGAGAGAGACACGGGGAGAGAGACACGGGGAGAGACACGGGGGGAGACACCAGTGTGTGTGTGTACCAGTGTGTGTATGTGTACCAGTGTACACCCAGGTCCCCATTCCAACCTAAAGTGGCCTGGTCTCAGTTATCTGATGAAAGTTGCAAGCGAGAATTTCATCATCGCTTGCGGCTGGGGTTGGCATCGTCCCCGACTCCTCCTGATGTCGAGGGTAAATGGGCGAGGTTTAGGACTGTGACTCATGCAGCTGCAATGGCTGCTTTGGGTACGCGGTCCAGACCTCCCCAGAGACCCTGGCTGACAGAGGAGGTGTTCAAGATGGTGAGAAAAAGCGACAGGCCCACTGTCATCGGCTACAGAATCCCACGTCAGAGAACGAGGAGGCTTACCGCAGCCTTCGCTCGGAGGTTCGGAGAGCCGTGAGGCGCTGCAAGGATGGGTGGTGGTCGCAGGTTGCTGAGGAGATGGAGTCTGCCTCAGTGGCCCGCGATCATAAATCTCTATTTAACTCCATCAAGAAAGTAACCTGCAGCGCCACACCTATTACCATCATTAAGGGAAAAAACGGTGATCCAATCTCTGACCCCCAGGAACAGGTTTGCAGATTTGCTGATCATTTCTGTGAGGTCCTGGGGGAGGGGAAATCCAAAAGCCAGGAACACATCGTGGCACAAAGTGGGGATGACCCTGCTGAGGCTGCAGTGCCTCAAATATTGGAAGAAGAAGTCAACCATTGTGAGTGGCTGGCTGAGGTGCCATCTGTTGAGGAAGTACTGAAGGCGATCTGGAGTCTGAGACCAGGAAAGGCACCGGGCGTTTGTGCACAGACTGCCCTACATGACATCATAACAACAGTCTGGACCACTGGACGGGTTCCGCAGGATTGGAAGGATGCCCTGGTGATCCCCCTTTTTAAGAAGGGGGACCGCACAGACTGTAACAACTACAGGGGCATCTCACTCCTCAGTGTGCCGGGAAAGGTCCTGGCAAGGATTATTCAGCATCGCCTTGCTAGGCACGCTGAGGAGAGGCTTGCGGAGCCCCAATGCGGTTTCAGGAAAGGGCGGTCCTGCACAGATGCCATATTTTTTGTCCGTCTGCTACAGCAGAGGTGTAGGGAATTCCAACAAGACCTACATCTCTGCTTTAATTGACCTGGTCAAGGCCTATGATACCATCAGTAGGCCTGGGCTCTGGGTCGTTGTTCGTGCTTTTGGAGTACCTGACCCTCTGCTCACGATCATTAAGGACCTTCATGATGGTGAGCGGGCCCGGGTAAAACTACGTGGCCGGGAGTCAGAGCCATTCCCTGTACACCTTGGGGTGCGACAGGGATGTCCTCTGGCTCCCACATTATTTAACATCTATTTTGACCACGTAGTTCGTGAAGCCTTCAATAGCTGTACAGGGGGAATCTCCATATGGTACAGATATAATGGGAGGCTAATCGATGCCCGGGTGCGGTCAAGGAATGGCTCCCTATTGCTCAACCACGTTATGTATGCTGATGATTTGGTAATAGCTGCTCAGTCAGAGGAGGAGTTGGAGACGCTGCTGCTGAGACTGGAGTGTGCCACTAAGAGGTGGGGCCTTACCATCAGCCCCACCAAAACTAAGCACCTGCCTGGGTATTTTGTACCATCGGACACTCCACCCCACAACTCCCAATCGGTGATGGGGCAGTTGTGGAGAGAGTGGAGAGTTTCCCATACCTGGGCAGTGTGCTTATGACTGGCTCCAGTTTAACAGCAGAGGTCTCACTCCGAATCAGTCGAGCGGCAATATCTTTTCATCGGTTGCGTAACGCTGTGTGGAAGCTACCTGGTCTGTCGCTCCGCACTAAGCTTCAGGTCTTCTCGGCCACGGTCATTCCCTCCCTTCTCTACGCTTGCGAAACGTGGACCCCCCTAATGGAACATCTTCGCCGGTTAGAAACATTTAGGCTGGCCTGCCTACGATCCATCCTGGGTTTAACCAGACTGGATTGTGTGAGCTCACAAATCCTTGAAAGATCTGGGCAGGGTCCCATCGGTGAGCTCCTCCGGCAGGCAAGGCTGCGATGGCTGGGTCATGTAGCCCGCATGCCCAGCCACCGCATGCCGAAACAGCTTTTGTTTGGCCGGATTGAGGGGGCTAAGCGAGCGCGGCACGGGCTAGAGAAGAGATGGAGTGATGTGGTACAGGAGGACGTGGAGCTGAGTGGACTTGCCGATGACTGGTACCAGCGGTGTCAAGATCGGCCTCTGTGGAGGAGGCTCGTGAAGGATGCTACTGGGCAGTTGGAGGCAGTCGCCCTCCAACAACAACGGAGGGCGGAGGAGCGACGCTCACAACAACGAGCGGAGCGCCGGGTGGCTAAAGCACAGCAGGTTGGCACAGTAGGGGGCACAGGTGGTGCATCAGCCAGTCATCTCAGTCAGTCGACCCGTGGCACCTGGGTCTGCCCCGTGACCTCCTGCCAGCGGGCGTTCGACACTTCACGTGGCCTCAGGGTGCACATAGCCTGGCACAAGCGTCGTGGTGACGTCACCGCCACTTAGTGGCGAATGGCGGTTGTTGTGTGTAGCAGTGTGTACCTGTGTGTGTAGCAGTGTGTGTGTGTGTAGCAGTGTGTGTGTGTGTGTGTAGCAGTGTGTGTGTGTGTGTAGGTGTGTGTGTACGTGTGTACCTGTGTGTGTGTAGCAGTGTGTGTGTGTAGGTGTGTGTGTGTACGTGTGTACCTGTGTGTGTGTACATGTGTGTAGGTGTACGTGTGTGCATGTGTGTAGCAGTGTGTGTGTGTAGCAGTGTGTGTGTGTGTAGCAGTGTGTACCTGTGTGTGTGTGTACCTGTGTGTGTGTGTGTAGCAGTGTGTGTGTGTGTGTAGCAGTGTGTGTGTGTAGCAGTGTGTGTGTGTAGCAGTGTGTGTGTGTAGCAGTGTGTGTGTGTGTAGGTGTGTGTGTACCTGTGTGTGTGTACCTGCGTACCTGTGTGTGTGTACCTGTGTGTGTGTGTAGCAGTGTGTGTGTGTGTGTGTAGGTGTGTGTGTACCTGTGTGTGTGTACCTGTGTGTGTGTGTGTGTACCTGTGTGTGTGTGTAGCAGTGTGTGTGTGTAGCAGTGTGTGTGTGTGTAGCAGTGTGTGTGTGTAGCAGTGTGTGCGTGTGTACCTGTGTGTGTGTGTGTAGCAGTGTGTGTGTACCTGTGTGTGTGTGTAGCAGTGTGTGTGTGTACGTGTGTACCTGTGTGTGTGTGTAGCAGTGTGTGTGTGTACGTGTGTACCTGTGTGTGTGTGTGTAGGTGTGTGTGTACCTGTGTGTGTGTACCTGTGTGTGTGTGTGTGTAGCAGTGTGTGTGTGTAGCAGTGTGTGTGTGTGTGTAGCAGTGTGTGTGTGTACCTGTGTGTGTGTGTGTAGCAGTGTGTGTGTGTGTAGCAGTGTGTGTTTGTGTACCTGTGTGTGTGTACCTGTGTGTGTGTACCTGTGTGTGTGTGTACCTGTGTGTGTGTACCTGTGTGTGTGTGTACCTGTGTGTGTGTGTGTGTAGGTGTGTGTGTGTGTGTGCCCCAGCACGTGCCTGTGTGAGGATGTATCTACGTTGAGCGGCCTCCACGTGCATGAGGCTGGCGTTGATGTAGTCGTTGACGCCATGCTCCAGACGCACGCGGCTGTGGTCGTCTGCACAGACACACAGGCAAAGGTCCCCCGGGTAGCCTCCAGCAGGGCCGTAGGGGGCAAGTGCTCTCAGTAACAGCAGCAGCAGCAGCAGTGTCTATAGACACACAGGCAAAGGTCACCCGGGTAGCCTCTAACAGGCTGTAAGGGGCAAGTGCTGTGAGTAGCAGCAGCAGTGTTTATAGACACACAGACAAAGGTCACCCGGGTAGCCTCTAACAGGCTGTAGGGGCAAGTGCTGTGAGTAGCAGCAGCAGTGTCCTATAGACACACAGACAAAGGTCCCCCGTGTAGCCTCCAGCAGGGCCGTAGGGGGCAAGTGCTCTCAGTAACAGCAGCAGCAGCAGTGTCTATAGACACACAGGCAAAGGTCACCCGGGTAGCCTCTAACAGGCTGTAAGGGGCAAGTGCTGTGAGTAGCAGCAGCAGTGTTTATAGACACACAGACAAAGGTCACCCGGGTAGCCTCTAACAGGCTGTAGGGGCAAGTGCTGTGAGTAGCAGCAGCAGTGCCCTATAGACATATAGACAAAGGTCCCCCGGGTAGCCTCTAGCAGGGCTGTAGGGGCAAGTGCTGTTAGTAGCAGCAGTGCAGACACACAGATAAAGATCCCCCGTGTAGCCTCCAGCAGAGTGTAGTGTATAGTGTAGTGTATAGTGTAGTGTATAGTGTAGTGGTGTAGTGTATAGTGTAGTGTAGTAGTGGAGTGTATAGTGTAGTGTATAGTATAGTGTAGTGTATAGTGTCGGGTATAGTGTAGTGTATAGTGTAGTGTATAGTGTAGTGTAGTGTATAGTGTAGTAGTGTAGTGTATAGTGTAGAGTAGTAGTGGAGTGAATAGTGTAGTGTATAGTGTAGTGTATAGTGTAGTGTATAGTGTAGTGTATGGTGTAGTAGTTTAGTGTATAGTGTAGTGTATAGTGTAGTAGTGTAGTGTATAGTGTAGTGTATAGTGTAGTAGTGTAGTGTATAGTGTAGTAGTGTAGTGTATAGTGTAGTAGTGTAGTGTATAATGTAGTGTATAGTGTAGTAGTATAGTATATAGTGTAGTAGTGTATAGTGTAGTAGTGTATAGTGTAGTAATGTAGTGTATAGTGTAGTGTATAGTGTAGTAGTGTATAGTGTAGTGTATAGTGCAGTGTGTAGTGTAGTAGTGTAGTGTATAGCGTAGTGTAGACTGTAGTGTATAGTGTAGTGTATAGTGTAGTAGTGTAGTGTATAGTGTAGTGTATATAGTGTAGTAGTGTATAGTGTAGTGTATAGTGTAGTGTATAGTGTAGTAGTGTAGTGTATAGTGTAGTAGTGTATAGTGTAGTGTATAGTGTAGTAGTGTATAGTGTAGTGTATAGTGTAGTAGTGTATAGTGTAGTGTATAGTGTAGTAGTATAGTGTAGTAGTGTAGTGTATAGTGTAGTGTATAGTGTAGTAGTGCAGTGTATAGTGTAGTGTATAGTGTAGTAGTGTATAGTGTAGTGTATGGTGTAGTAGTGTAGTGTATAGTGCAGCGTAGACTGTGCTCACAGGGGCTGACGTCACGGTACCGGTTCCGCAGGCGATTCTCCTGCCTCTTAGCCACCTTGTAGGGGAAGGCACGGCTCTGCTCCTTGATCTCCTAGCGGCGGTAAGAACACACAGACACCATCATCACCATCATCATCGCCATTCTACATCATCATCATCATCTCTAACCTGTCACATCATCATCATCATCTCCACCTCATGACATCATCTCCATCCCATCATCATCATCTCCATTACGTCACACCATCATCATCATCATCGCCATTCTACATCATCTTCATCATCTCTACCCTGTCACATCATCATCTCCACCTCATGACATCATCTCCATCCCATCATCATCATCATCTCCATTACGTCACACCATCATCATCATTCTACATCATCATCATCATCAGCTCCACCTCATCACATCATCATCTCCATCCCATCATCATCATCTCCATTACGTCACACCATCATAATCATCATGGCTCTGATATCCACTTAGTGGGGCTGAGTTTGATTGATGCTGATTGGCTGTGGCTCTGATATCCACTCAGAGGGGCTGAGTTTGATTGATGCTGATTGGCTGTGGCTCTGATATCCACATAGTGGGGCTGAGTTTGATTGATGCTGATTGGCTGTGGCTCTGATATCCACTCATGGGGCTGAGTTTGATTGATGCTGATTGGCTGTGGCTCTGATATCCACTTAGTGGGGCTCAGTTTGATTGATGCTGATTGGCTGTGGCTCTGATATCCACTCAGTGGGGCTGAGTTTGATTGATGCTGATTGGCTGTGGCTCTGATATCCACTTAGCGGGACTGAGTTTGATTGATGCTGATTGGCTGTGGCTCTGATATCCACTTAGTGGGGCTGAGTTTGATTGATGCTGATTGGCTGTGGCTCTGATATCCACTCATGGGGCTGAGTTTGATTGCTGCTGATTGGCTATGGCTCTGATATCCACTGAGTGAAGCTGAGTTTGATTGATGCTGATTGGCTGTGGCCTCTGATATCCACTCAATGAGGCTGAGTTTTATTGATGCTGATTGCTTGTGGCTTCTGATATCCACTCATGGGGCTGAGTTTGATTGATGCTGATTGGCTGTGGCTCTGATATCCACTCATGGGGCTGAGTTTGATTGATGCTGATTGGCTGTGGCTCTGATATCCACTTAGTGAAGCTGAGTTTGATTGATGCTGATTGGCTGTGGCCTCTGATATCCACTCAGTGGGGCTGAGTTTTATTGATGCTGATTGGTTGTGGCTTCTGATATCCACTCATGGGGCTGAGTTTGATTGATGCTGATTGGCTGTGGCTCTGATATCCGCTCAGTGGGGCTGAGTTTGATTGATGCTGATTGGCTGTGGCTCTGATATCCACTCAGTGGGACTGAGTTTTATTGATGCTGATTGGCTGTGGCCTCTGATATCCACTCAGTGGGGCTGAGTTTGATTGATGCTGATTGGCTGTGGCTCTGATATCCACTCAGTGGGGCTGAGTTTGATTGATGCTGATTGGCTGTGGCTCAGATATCCACTTAGTGGTGCTGAGTTTGATTGATGCTGATTGGCTGTGGCTCTGATAGCCACTCAGTGGGGCTGAGTTTGATTGATGCTGATTGGCTGTGGCTCTGATATCCACTCAGTGGGGCTGAGTTCGATTGATGCTGATTGGCTGTGGCTCTAATATCCACTCATGGGGCTGAGTTTGATTGATGCTGATTGGCTGTGGCTCTGATAGCCACTCAGTGGGCAGGGTTTGATTGATGCCGATTGGCTGAGGCTTCTGATATCCACTGTGGGGCCGAGTTTGATTGATGCTGATTGGCTGTGGCTTCTGATATCCACTCAGTGGGGCTGAGTTTGATTGATGCTGATTGGCTGTGGCTTCTGATAGCCACTCAGTGGGGCTGAGTTTGATTGATGCTGATTGGCTGTGGCTCTGATATCCGCTCAGTGGGGCTGAGTTTGATTGATGCTGATTGGCTGTGGCTCAGCTATCATCGACTCGGTGGGTCAGAGTCTTCTTCTGGGGAAAGTGTCGTGATCATCACTGGGCAGTAAGCGGCCATCCTAAATATAAAGTCGGCCTCGGCAAGGTAATTTACCCTTTTTACCGGGTAAAAGGGTAAACGTGTTGATATGCCAGGGGGTAAGGTAAAGGGTAGTGTAAAGGTAGCGCAGAAAAATTAGCCGGTAAGCACCTTGTTTACCGCTCGCTAAAAGCTCCGTGAATAAAGCGCCCTACCTGGCATTTACCTGTTACAAACCTTGTTCATGTGTAGCAGTAGTACCCCAGTAATTACTCTGTGATCGGTTAACTTGTACGTGTTAAGGGTAAAAGGTCGGTTAAAGGTAGGGTCGTTGCTTTTGACCTTTAACCTTGCTAAAGGGTAAAGGGTCGGTTAAAGGTAGGGTCGTTGCTTTTGACCTTCAACCTTTTACCTTGCTGAAGGGTAAAAGGTCGGTTACAGGTAGGGTCGTTGCTTTTGACCTTCAACCTTTTACCTTGCTGAAGGTTAAAAGGTCGGTTAAAGGTAGGGTCGTTGCTTTTGACCTTCAACCTTTTACCTTGCTGAAGGGTAAAAGGTCGGTTAAAGGTAGGGTCGTTGCTTTTGACCTTCAACCTTTTACCTTGCTGAAGGTTAAAAGGTCGGTTAAAGGTAGGGTCGTTGCTTTTGACCTTCAACCTTTTACCTTGCTGAAGGTTAAAAGGTCGGTTCGTTGCTTTTGACCTTGCTAAAGGGTAAACGGTAAGGGTAGCGTAATCGCATTGTGCTAAGGTCAAAGGTAGGGTAACGGTAGGGTAAAGGTAGGCTCGTTGGTTTTGACCTTGCTAAAGGGTAAAAGGTAAAGGTAGCGTAATCGCATTGTGCTAAGGTCAAAGGTAGGGTAACGGTAGGCTCCTTGGTTGTTCCGCTAAAGTCACGTATGTAGACATACCATAAAATTATATTGAAATAAATCAATCACGACGTTTGGACCGCAACACAAGCCATCTTCATCAGGTGTAAAATTAAAAAATTAAAAAAGCAAATAGCGAGGGAGCACATAGGGTGACATCAACGCAACACGAAGACAGCGTCAAACTGCACGGAGGTAAATACAACGAGAAGATGAGAGGAAACAATCAAATAATAAAATATATATCCTTAGCTCTTCCGGTAAAGTCACGTTGCAAACCAACACACCTGATGACGACCGTTTGTGTTATGGTCGAAACGTCGTGAGAATTATTTGTTGTTTTATATATATTTTATTATTTCATTGTTTCCCTTCAACGTGACTTTACCGAAAGAGCTAAGAATATGAATTACTGCAGTCACGAAAGCTTTAAATCAAAATAAAATATATATAAAAAAATATTCTCACGACGTTTCGACCATAACACGAACGGCCACCTATGGTCGAAACGCCGTGATAATTTTTATTGTAATATATATTTTATTATTTCATCGTTTCCCTTCAACGTGACTTTACCGAAAGAGCTAAAGAATATGAATTACTGCAGTCACGAAAGTTTTAAATCAAAATTTAAGAAGACGAGAGACCGGAATTGAACAAAACCCACGAAAAAATGTACGCGACGCAAAGCCAGCCAGGCAAAATGACACGGCTAGACACTTGCCTGATGAGGATCGGTTGTGCTGCTGTCGAAACGTCGTGATTGACTTGTCTTAACGTGATTTTGTGGCATTCCTACACGGTGGAGGTCACCTCTAAAATTCTGTCCTAAACTTATTGCGGTCCCCCCTTACATTTTCCTGTCCATCCCCCCTCATCCGCTTGCTTTCTTCGGGGCCCCTCAGCCCCGCCTCGACTGCTTATCTTAATCCTCCGTCTGTTCGTCCCTCCGGCCCCCGTTTATCTTGCTTCTCTGTCCGTCTTTCCTCTTCTAACCTCCTGCTTGTCCCCTGTATGCATGTATCCATGCTCTCTCGTACCTCGCATTTCGTTCACTCTGTCCACGCTGGTGCGTTCAACCCAGAGGATCAACGCGAAATTGGGCACTCTTCCGAAATTCGAGGACCGCCAGGCGAGCGTCTGAACCGTGCCGTTGGCCCGACTGGTTTTGCGTCGCGTATATATATATAAAAAAACAAACAAAAAAATGTCCCCCCTTAGGCTTGTTCAATTCTCGTCTCTCATCTTCTTGCTGCACACACCTCCGTGCGAGCCTCACGCCCTCCACGTGTTGCGCCGATGCCGCCCTGCGTGCTGTCTGTCTGTCTGCCTGCTTCTTTTTGTTTTTGTTTTGACGACACCTGATGAAAATCGCCTGTGCTGCGGTCGAAACGCCGAGGTCGATTTGCCTTAATGTGATTTTGCGGTATTCCGACAACCGCGTCACTTTACCGCGGATAAACCCACGAGTAATTTGTGCAGTCACGAAGGGGGGGCTTTAATTCTTCGCCATCGGCCGGCTCGTTGTTTTTTCCCTTTGACCTCACCTTGCCGAGGCCCGCTCTAACGGGCGGACAGCGGACACAATCGTCGGTCACGCTCGGCGGTTTCGCGTGGTTCCACGACCGTTCAACGTCACGAGCACCCCGTGGATTTTAACCCCTCCCCCAATTGTCGCCATTTGTCCGAGCCACGTTTCAAGTGAGGGGCGAGCGGCCGCTAAGGGCGAGCGCCAGGGCCTGCGAAGGCCCTGGCGCTGGGGGCACACGAGGGGCTGGGTGGCCAGCACCGCCGACGCCGCCGCCACCACCACCACCACCACAACCGTCACCACAGTCGACACCATCATCACCACCAGCGTCGCCACCACCAGCGTCGCCACCACCACCACCACCACCACCACCGTCACCACAGTCGACACCATCATCACCACCAGCGTCGCCACCACCACCACCGCCGTCACCACAGTCGACACCATCATCACCACCAGCGTCGCCACCACCACCACCGCCACAACCGTCACCACAGTCGATACCGTCGCCAACGTTACCACCACCATCACCACCACCACCACCATCATCATCACCGTTACCACCACCACCACCGGCGTCGCCACCACCACCACCACCGTCACCACAGTCGACACCATCATCACCACCGGGGTCGCCACCACCACCACCACCACAACCGTCACCACAG